TAGATAAGAACTGCAAATGGGGGTAGTAGAGGAGCTTCACCTGACAGGCAAAGTTAGACTATAACAAGAGAGGATGTGTTCCCTTTCCTCTTTTTCTTTTCCAGGAGGATCTGGGCCATTTTCACTTATTCATACCCCATCTTGTTCAAAAATAACTGGGCACTGTTCTCAGCCCACATTTGAAAATGTGCAAAAATTGGGTGCAGCTAAGTTGTGAGTCTATCCATTTTTCTGTTTTGATCCTTGTATCTTATTTAATAGTGTTACAAGGCCATTCCCACTATCATACTGTATCCAAATTTAATGTCTATGGTTGTTTTTATGTTAGGGCAGAAATAAGTGGGCTTTCACATTCAATTGCACTGTTGGAAAGTAGTCTGGCAGCTTTTATGCCTTTCTAGTCTCTGCCATGAAATAAATATCCTGTATAAACAAAAACAGACCTGTAGACCGGTACCAGCTCAGCCCAGGGAAGCACATTTCTTACAAAACATTTATAAGACAAACTCAGGGTGAAATTTGCTAGAAGGGCACAAACACCAAAATTGTTGTCCCTGAGGTTCTATTTGTTTGGTTCATTAATTACTTCATTTTGGTTTGATGTTGACAATTAGAATTTTTAAAACTTTTGATGCCTTGCTTTATTTTGTCAGACAGCTTTCAAATATTATTGATTGCCATAAGAATAGAAATAAAGACTTCTAGGCAGTGAGTCTCCTTGAAATGATTTCTTTGGTTTCCTTGATTCATATCCCATGTAATATTGCCCCAGGAAATTCTCTAGACAGAGCAGCCAGTTGCTGTGATTTATTCAATCCATGGACCCAGCTTTATTCTCCATTCCTGCCTTACATACTTTTTCAAGACTGCCAGGAAGGGAGGAGCCAGAAAGCTGATATTTTGCCATTCACACGCCTCAAAGAGGCTTCCCTTCTCTTCCTGCAGGCGAATGAGGTATTTCTAGGAGCTAGTCAGTGTCTTCATCTTACATCCTAAACTAAACTGTTCTATGAAGACTCCAGGCCAAGTCTGAGGATACTGTGTATATCTGTATCTATATATAGATATATAACAAATTAACATATATAAACACATTACATAAAACCACATAATGAAGAGCAGACCTACTTCATGAACTAAGTAAGTTTACATATAAATTAAAATACAGTATTTCCACTTTTACAGGAAAATTACAAAAAATAAACTCGAAGGTTCCCCTTTCCCCAGAGGTTCGTTGCGCACAGATGATCCATGTACCCACAGTGAGATGCAGAGACGAACCCCCTCACGGGATGTGTCAACTTCTAGTTTTGGTTTCACTGCCCAGACTTGGGATTCCTTAATTCTAGAATAGGAAATGCTGGGATTTACAGGGCAACACTCATGTCAAAGAAAGGATGCCCCATGGATGCCCATGAGTTTTCCTTCCACTTGCCACGTCTCTGCCTTTCCAAGTCTGCTTGCAGGAGGGTCAGGCTTGCATCATTAATGGAAACCTCTGAGTTCTCTAACTGGAGAATCAGCATCAATGTTCATGCTCTCCACCTAGAAATGTCACTAGCAATTTTGAATAGGGTAGTTAGAAGAGCCTTATTAATAAGATGACTATTGAGCTAAGACTGGGAGGTGACGCAGAATACCATGATATGTGTTAGGGAAGAGCAGTCCAGGCAGATGGCTTGACCGATGGCAGACTTTGAGGTAGAAGTTTTCCTGGAATGTTCAGAGAACAATGAAAAGGCCAGTGGGAAATGTAGACATGCTCCAAGGCGAGACCTGCAGCAAGGTGAGACAAGTGGGTGAAGCAAATTGTAGGCAATTTAAGGTTCTTGGCCTTTACTGAGTGAGAGAAGAAACTGTTAGAGGGTTTGCAACTAAGGAGTAATATGCTCTGATTTATATGTGGAAGGATCATCCTATGTTGAGAATAGGCTGCAGAGGGGCAGGAAAAGAAGCAGAGAAACCAGTTAAGAGTCTCTTGTAATCCTCTAATGAGCAGTAAATAGACCTGGATAGCTGTGATGCAGTGAATAAAAGGAGGGTGTATCTTACAGAGCCAGTAAGCATGACTGACGTATGATGTGAAGCATGTGTGAGAGATAAGTCAAGGTTGTTGATTTTTGGCCTAAGCAACTGGAAGCAAGTTGCTGATAAAGAAATGGGAAAGATAATGGGAGGAGCATATTTGAGGGCAGGCTTTGGAGTATAGAGTTGGGAGATAATTCCTACTAAGGAATAAATACATTAGAACTGCTGTTACTTCTTTAGACTAAGACAATGAAATGACTAAATTGAAACAAATTCCATAAAAGTTTTGTTTCATGTCCTCAATGAGCAGAGATTTTTAGTGTGTCTATTTTATATAACCTTATTGGCTACATAACTGCTTTCCACTCTTTAGAATTTTGAAGTCTTTATCATCTACTCATTTATTACTACCTAGTTTTTTACTGAGCACTTACTATGTTCTAAGTCTGTATCAGCAAACTTTTTCTGTAAAGTGCCAAATGGTGAACATGTTTTAGCTTGGTAGGCCATATGGTGTTTGTCACAACTCTATCCTTGTAGTGTGAAAGCAGCTATAGATAATCTATACTAATGTATGTGGCTGTGTTCCAAAAAATTTTTATTAACAGACACTGAAATTTGAATTTCACCTAATTTTCATGGATTGCAAAATACACTTTTCTTTTCTTTTTTTTTTTTTTTAACATTTAAAAATGTAAAAACTAGGCCAAGGATTTAGCTCAGTGGTGCTGCCGCCACCTGCCTCTCAAGCACAAGGACCGGGGTTCGACCCCCAGTACCTCACCCCCCCAAAAATTGTACAAACCATTCTGACTCTGTAGACCATACAAAAAACAGAGTAGGCCAGACTTGGCCTGTAGATTGCTAATCCCTGTTCTAGGTTCTGAACAAAGGGAAATACAGTAGAGTAAACAAAAGTTCCCACCTCCATGCAGTTCATTATGTAACAATACAGTCAATAATCAATAACTGCTTTAATACACTGAAAGGTAATAGACAAAAATAAGAAATAGAGTATGGAAAGGGAGAACCTGGACTTGGGGAGATAGAAATAAGTGCCAGTGTTAAATAAAGATAACTTTTGCTCTGAAAGGTAGGAATGAGTCTCTAGACAGTTGTATAGTAATTTTACTTTCCTTGTGTCCTGTATACTTAAGGAAAAGCCAGAAGTACTGTGGCAGTATTGGTAGTCCTTCTTTTGAAGAAGCTTTGACCTATATCCATATACCAATCAAATCAACTTCCAGTGACTACATGTCCGTGCTGACATGGTTCTTCCTGGACTTTCTCATCGTTGCTTCCTGGTTTATCTTTTCCTTTTACATAGGATTCAGGTCAATGGTATGTCTTACTCCAGTGGTATAAACATAGCATATCTCAGCGGTTCGGTGGCCTGCCTTGCAAGCGCAAGGACCCGAGTTCAATCCCTGGTACCAAAAAAAAAAAGCATAGCATATTTTTCTTCTCATCAATGAATCTAGAAATCTTGCTTCAAAGACAAATTATATCATGTATTTGTACAGACATAAATAGAACAATTTATAAACAAGTGCCTCTTTTAGAAAGTTTATTATTTGAGGGTGAATTATTTTTATCATTAGTTATATTCTTTGCTCATAGTTTATTGTTTTCCATCTAAGAAAATAAGAGTTGAAAACCTTGAAGATTTTTATAACCTGTTCATCATTTTCCTATGGCAAGAAACAGACTACCAGCCACCTGTTTACAACATCAAACAAAATTAATTAGCAGATGAGCTCTCTTTGTTTCCAGATTCCCATAATGAACATAAGAAATAAGTTTACCCAAGTTCATACCCATCCCTATTTCTTTTCTTCCAGTCTCTACAATAAACAGAGCAACGATTAGCTTTTCTTCGTCTTGGTTAAAGCCAGCACTTCCTCAGAGGTCCTGTCCTGTGCATTGCCTTCTATCTCCTGTCTGTTTTCAACTTCTCCGTCATTCCTAGTTTTCTTACATGCTCAGGTCTCTTCCATCCCAAAAACAAACTGTAAGAAATCTCCCTCCAGCTCAGTGGTTCTGTACCTGCCTTGCAAGCGCAAAGTTCCAAGTTCATTGTCCGGTAGAAAGAAAGGAGAGAGAGAGAGAGAGAGAGAGAGAGAGAGAGAGAGAGAGAGAGAGAGAGAGAGAGAAGGAGAGAGAGAGAGAGAGAGAGAGAGAGAGAGAGAGGTTCCTCCTAAAAACCCCCATCTTAATCTGTTCTTATTCATGCTTCTCAAAATAATATATGACTGCTCTCTCCCTTTCTTTAATGTATATTTAATTTTTTAACATTTCTTTTTGGGCAGTGTAATATACATACTGAAAACTGCATTGAATATGTGTATGTTTTAATGAATTAGTTATATAACACACACCTAGGTAACCACCTCCATGTGGCAAGAAATAGGAAATTGCAGCTATTCTGAAACTGTCTACCTGCTATTCTCTCCCTACTGGAAGTAGTGACTGCCCTGGCTTTTCTGAACAATCAGTTCTTTACTCTATTTTTTTACCCTCGTGTATATCCCTTCACTCTTAACTCTCCTACATTCTACTTTTTCTATCCTCAGACTAAGTATTTTAAATCTTTTCAGTAAAGCTATCTATGAACAATTGCACTTAAAATGGCTGTTTCTCGGCACTGATGTTAGTAGGCCTCGTCTCTCTGCTGTACTCGGCATTACAGATCAGTTCATCCTTCCTGAATCTAGTTTTAAGGCCTGTGCCTGTGTTCTCCTATGTCTCCACATCCTTGAGCCTTTCTTTCTCTGTTCCTTGCACAAGCTTCTCTGCCTGACTCTTAAATATTGCTGTCTCAGGATTCTGTTCTTGGTTCACTGCCACTCCACACTAAACTATAAGAAGCCATATTTCAAAGGAATCTCTTGCCTAAAAAGAGCTCTTTTGGAAAGGACAAGATTTGAACTCTTCTAACATTTATTAAATCTTCACAAATATTTGTGTTGCAGACCAAACCTGGACCACCCAAAAAGCCGAAGACCCCTTCTGGACAATCAGCCTTAGTGTATTGCTACAACTGTGCACAAAAAGGCCATTATGGACATGTAAGTTTGAGTAATATTTGGGCATAAAGCATTCTGTTGTCAGGGTGTGGTTGCTGAAACATGAACTCAAGAAGAATATAATTCCAAATGCTTACTTGTTTACAAACTAACATTCAGTGTAGATTTAATGTGTTCCCAACTAATTCACTTCTCTCCTCCCTGTGAGAGTGAGAGTCTATCAGAGCATATTTCTCTTATTACTTTAAAAGTATTAAATGTATATGAAAACAAATATAGTTCATAAATCCAGTCAGACAAATAGTCAACAAGATGGTAGTAGTTCTCACGAGTTCTTATACCTACTGTTATTTTGACACAGCTACATTATGTTTTAAATGTTCTACTTAGTTCTCCAGTTTTTCCTGGTACTGTGTTCAGTTAAATCTTTGTCAGGCCAGAGATTTAGCTCAGGGCACCACGCCTGCCTCATAAGTGCGAGGTACTGAGTTCAATCTCCAAGACCAAAAAAAAAAATCTTTATCATTCACTTGTAATCTGTGACACTCAATCATGGAAGGCAGTGATGGAGGTGGGCATTAGTCCCCTGGCCAGTTGCCACATGAAGTAATGAAACAGGAGCAGTTCATCCCAGAGGCATCATGCAGTAAGAAGAGACTCAGGGTCCATATATGCTGGGAATCTTGAGGCAGAGGGAGAAGGACAGTGACACAGAAAGTAGAAAACCTGTGTGGAGTGATGCATTCCTATTCACCTGATAGGCATCTCACAGCCTAGAAGCTAAGTTAAACTAATAGATCGAATGGCAGGAGGGAGAAAGCATACAGAGGCTTAGGAGCTCTCAGTGGTAGAGGGATAAGCAATAGATTGGAGTAATTGTAGGCCTCTCTTGAATTCCAGCCATGCATTTTATTGTATAGATCCTGAGGGCACTACATCATAAGGAGAGAAAAAGGCTGGGAGAAGAAAAAGTTCCAGACAGAGACCAGCAGCAGATCATTTATGTTCCAGATCATAGCAGAAAGGTGGTGGGGAGTAGAATATGACAACTAGATTGAGGCTGTGGTCCTCAATTCTAATTTTTGCTCTGCTACCAACTTAACCAGGTAATTTGAACAACTTTTTTCCTCTTGTCCTCAAGCTTTGTCTTCAAAGCAAAGAGGGTATACACAGGGAATCTCTTGGCACTGGCATTTGGATGCTGTTTCCAGTGTGATCAAAGCCATCATATGATGATATGGATTCTACAGTATTCTTACTTCCATTCTCTAGAACTCACATTGAAAGCCTTACTAGAGAAGATTTCTTTTATAAAATTATCTCTAAATTTTTACTCCTCCATTCATTCATCCTTATTAGCAACATTCAGATGTTACCAACATCTTTTAGAGAACATATTCACATAAGTGGTCCATTGCCACATAAGTCACACAGATGTACAATTTATGCCTACTTACTTCTTTAAAGCAAAAAGGTACAATTTTAGCATTTATGTCTGTTCAATTAAAGAAAACAATTATAGTCAAGTATTTACTGCTTATTAGTCTTTCCTAGTGTAGAGAGGAAATACAGTCAAAACATTTGGAATTTATCCCCAAAATCTAGATTTATATTATTTTTCATTTATAATAAAGCAAATTTGGCCACCTCATAACTGCCATAGATGAAGAACTCTAAATTATCCAGCACTAATGAAGAAGATCAGTGGTGTGGCTAATCCAGAATAGTAGATAAATTATATAGCTATCAATTGTCTGTGCTAATGGAGGGGACCAGTGATGTGGATAATCAAAATATGATTTACATTTAACTTTGGAAAACATTTGTAGTAATGGATAGCTCTGTGTAGTCATATCAAACTAGACTATATAGGACCAAATAGGAAAGTACACATTGCAGATAGTTAAAAATGCCTGAGGACCCTTCCTCTTCAGTTTCAGAAATTCAGCCCTACAAATGTTACTATTGAATAGATTCTTCATGTGAAAGGACATATCCCTTCCCTACTCCCATTTTCTAGCTAGGGAGGCAAGAACAGTAGTCACTATATAAAAGGACTACTCAGAAAGGTGTGAAAGGGTGATTAATGGGGCCTGGGAGAGTTAAAAGGTTCTGTTTACATAGGTATTAAATAAGTGTATCAAGATTTCTAGTAATCATAATTTGATCCTACTGTTGTATGATTGGAATTCTTAGTAGAGAAAATTTATCTCTTGATAGCTAAAATTGCTTTATATCCCACCATTGCAGAGTACTAGAGTATTCTAAATATACTACTTGTGCCACTGAGTTTTGTGCTTTCATGTGGCTTATGTTCTTATTTAGCAAACTTTCATTTCTATTATGGTTGGAATCTTAGAGACACATCTCTCATTGTTATCTTTTCTCCTGAGAATGGGAACTTGGAACAGTATAGATAATGGTTTATGGAAAAAATGTTTTATGTTGTCATGTATGTTTGCCTTATAATTTATGAGCTCCAAAAAGTCACAACAGAAAAAAGATGGTAGGAGAAAGGAAATAGTAAAGATAAGAAACAAAATTATTGATATGGAAAGCTAAATAGCATCAACAAAACCAAAAGTTGGTTCTTTGAAAACCCTTTCTTGGCAGGGAAAATGGAAATTAGTTAAAAAATGCTTGGTTTGGTATGAGAAGTAAATACAGATTTCTGTTTACTTACTTAAGTATGTATTTAGAATGATTCATACCTTATTTAAAGCTACAAATTAAGGGGCTGGGGATTTAGCTCAGTGGTTCCAGTGCCTGCCTCACAAGCACAAGGACCTGAGTTCAATTCCCAGTACAAAAAAAAAAACAAAACCTACAAATTAACTGCATAAAATGTATTGCTACCAACTTGGTCAGATGTCTTAGAAGTACAAATCCAATATCTAATGTCAAAAGTATTATGAGTCAGCTAAATTCTATGTGAATATTTTACATACTTTCTAAAAGTTATTCTAATATTTTTTCAATACTTAGCTAAGAAACGTTGGACATTCGTAAATAAGTTTTAGGCATTGTTTAAAAAACAATGAGAAAGTTCCAAAGGGAAACCTCCTTCAAAGAAAAAATGTTTCAGACTTGCTAAAGAGTTATGTGTCGCAGATCATAGTAAACAGATGCCTATTCTGTTTTTTGTTTTTTGGAAGTTTTTTTTGTTTGGTTGGTTGGTTGGGTTTTCTTTTGTTTTGTTTTGTTTTTTGTTTTTTTGTTTTTTGTTTTGAGACAGGGTCTCACTATGTAGTTGAAACTGACCTGGAGCTTACTATGTAGCCCACGCTGTTCTTGAACTCACAGTGATCTCCTGCCTCAGCCTCCTAAGGGCTGGGATTACAGGCTTGCGCCACCATGCCTGGCAGAACAGAACCCTATCCTATGGGGAGTGGCTCAGGCCACAGATATATATTTGGGAAATACCCAAAGTGGAAGGGCCAGAATCATGAGAGCAGGGAGCTGCCCTAGGGAAATAAGAAGAATGATTTCAGCTTGGGCAGGAAAACAAGGAGGGGAGAGATTTCATTTGGAGTATCGCAGAATTACCTGGGAACATTTTCAAAGTAGACATAACCCAGCACCACTTCACTCCACACCATAAGAATTACTATTCTAATAAGTAGTCAATGTTGAGTTGAAATAAGCTTGTGTACCACTTATATCTATAGAAAAGACCAAGGGCTAAGCATTTACACTCACATTTTGGGGATGGGAAAAAAGAGAAAGAAAAGTACTTGCCGGAAAGCTATTAGAAGAAACAAAAAATAAAAGGATAAATACTAGCATCCAAATGAATAAAATAAACCCACTAGCAGAGGACAGTGTCATTGGCACTAACCCTCAGTGCTTTAACTCAGACTGAGGGAGGGGTTTGGCAGGGACCATTGTAGAAAGATGAGAAGAATTTTATAGGTACAGAGGTAAAAGAAGGCCATCCAAGCCTGAAAGTATAGCACATAAGCGCAGTGACGTTGTTGGGCTGCATGACCCCTCACTGCATCCAGCAAAGACTATGTCCAGCAGCCACAGCATGAGTTACCGCTGCTGTGGGGCTCATTTCTAATTAACATGGTCTGGAAGCTCACTGAAAAGTTTTCTGAACAAAGCAACCTTGTGACATCATAATTTCAAATATAATTTTTAGGAATGTACAGAAAGGCGAATGTTTAACCAGACATTTCCAGCATCTCCATTCATCTACTACTATGATGACAAATATGAAATTCGAGAGAGAGATCAGAGAATGAAACGAAAAGTAAAAGGTATGTTATTAGAATTCTTGTTAGTTGAAGCACTTCTGCAGTAGTTCCTGTATTGCCTTGTTTGGGAGACATTGTTTAGCATAGAAAACATTTTTAATTACCACAGAAACCAGAGGTTACTTGATCTTCAAAAACCAGGCACCTACTTCAGAAATCCTGTGTTGTAAACATAGTGAACATTTCAGAAAATGTTCCTAAAGATACTGTATTCACCTATGCATGCAGAGCTTTAAAGATTCCTTTTGAGATTTTGCTTGACACTTAATTTTATTTTTTCTATTCTTTTGACTCTTTGCATTCAGATTCTCTTCACCATGAACATACTAATTCTGAGGGGAGTAGAGGAATTCTCACAGCTCCTGCATCATTTGCATATTATATTTAATATAAAATTTATCTCAACTGTAGAAAAATTATAGTACATGAAGATAATGATGAAGCAACTAAATTAGGAAGAGATTAAAAGAAATGTTTGAGGGCTGGGGATGTAGCTCAGTGGCACCACACCTTCCTTTCACGAGGTCCTGAGTTTGATCCCCAGTACCACAAAAGAAAGAAAGAAAGGAAGGAAGGAAGGAAGGAAGGAAGGAAGGAAGGAAGGAAGGAAGGAAAAGCAAAGAAGGAAAGAAATGTATGAAATGTCATCTCTGAATTAAGGATTATGAATGCCTTCCATTTTATTTTCTTTGTACTATTCTGTTTTTCCAAATTTTCTATAATGAGCATTTATAAGTTTTATTATCTAAGAAAAACATTTTTCTCCTCTTTAGCTTGTATTAACAACTCTATAGTACTGATCCATTTTGAGGTGCACTGTAATCCATTGGCATTTTGATTTTACTCTAAAAACTTCAATTTTTATATATATATATATATATATATAAAAATTGAAGGGGTGTGCTGGGGCTCGAACTCAGGACCTTGTGCTTGCAAAGCAGACAGTAGAACCACTGAGCTATCTCCCTGGCTCTCTAAAATTCTTACATTAAAATTTTTACTGGCCACCTTAATCATTCAAGGTTGATACATTTAATTTTCATCCCTTACTGTAACCTCATCTCCTACCTACCATCAGACACTCTTGGTGTGTCAAATACTAACAAAATATAGTATCATTTGTCACTAAAACCTCTTAAGATAAATGCACATGAGTGCTCCCTCTCACTGTGCATTCATATATACTCCCTGAGCCATTAGTCTCTACTCTGGAGGAATAGAGGTTTGGCATCTACCTCTCAGTTTTGTGAGATTTTTATCATCAAAGGGTAATTGAAATGTCATAAGAGATTGTCAGAAAGCCACTTTATATATCCCTCTTCCCCTTATCTTCAAGGGCTTTTTATCACTAGAGAACTTGATTTGCTCAGAAATTACTTTTCTTCACAAAGCTAAGATGATTAGTTCTTCCTGGACTTTGTCTCCATTGTTTAATATAGTTAAAGTGTAATGAATACAATAAATATTATTGGAATTTAGGTGTTTTCCTTTTCAGCAGTCAAGAATGTAGAACTACAACCATTCAATTTTCAGTGAGTTTTTTTTTAACTTAGAAAGGTTTCTTTAGAATGTCATATTTTTAGAATGTTAAATATCTTTCCCGTCTGCTAAGTTATTTACAGATCTGTGAAAATTCTACATGAACTGTCTAGCTGCTGAATATGCAAAACTACTTTTATATTTTCCAGAACTCCAGAAAAATGGGGATTTTCCAAGGCAGTTCAAGAGACCACATATGGAAGCAGCAGATAAGAAACCCCAGCGTGACATGAGGAAGAGCCATGCCTCCCGGGAAAACAACAGGTGGCGTCAAGAAGATAAAGAAGCTCAGAGAGAAATGATGAGCAGGAATAGACACCCAGAGAAGCACAGAAAGCTTGACAGACGTTGGGGAGTGAATGAGGACTTTACTAGGGGCCCCAGAACTCACTCTTCTCCCATCAGTTTTAAAACCCAGAAGCCTCACAAGTCCTTTCACCACTCATCACATCACCACAAGCCAAGGGAAGACAAGCTTCCCAAAGAGGGCAAGCGGAGCAAGCAGAAGAAAAAGGAGAGATATGTGGAAGATGATGTTAATGATAATTTATTTCTCATTAAGCAAAGGAAAAAAAAGTCTAAGCTGTGATTTGGCTTAATGTCTACAACATTCTAGGAATATTTTTATTACTTATAATTAAATAAAGGGAAGTTTGGGGTTTTGATTTTTTATTGCAGCCATACCTAGAGTGGGGATCTCAATTCTCTACATCCAACAGGTTGTTAGGAAACAGAAAGATAAACTTGAACCTTCTGCTGTAATATCATTTTTACTCAGAATCTTTGGGATAGAAAAAAAAATCAGTCTTTTCAAGAAAACCTTTTAAATTTACTTGAAAAAATAAATGTTCATGAATGCAGTGTATTTGCTATGTGGGAAGAAATTTAAATCTTTGTAGAAGGAGAAATTATTACTAATAAGAAATTTATCACTCACCATTTTATTTTAACATGGAAAGGGACAATGGCTGTAAATCTAAATCCAGCTTTTCTTGCTTCTAAAACTGTTGTCAGAGTCTTCCTTTGGAGTAAATATCACAAGCTGACTATAAAATGAAGGTATCATTAAAGCCATGAGAGAATTGGGCTATTAACAAAGGATAAAAAAATCTTTCCAGTATAAATGTATAAGACAGATTTCCTGAAATATATCAAAAAGTATCATCAAAAATGTTAATACGATCACATTGAAACAGTTCATACCATTTTTATTGCCGTATTTCAAGAAAACCATCATTCAGATATATAGAGAAGGATATTACCCAATTTAAAAAATGGTTTTGTTTTGTGGATTTTTTTAACTATCACACAGAGATACAGAATTTTTTTATATTGTGAACTTTTTGTACTTCTCAGTGCCTCATGTTAGAATGAGAAAGATAAAATATCTGAAACAGAATGAATAAATTTGTTATATAAAATGACAATAAGAGTTTAGGTCTCACAGCACATAGTTGTGTTGGAAAAATGACTAAATTTATAAAATCACCATAAACTAGAATCAGAAGTGCCCTTTTTGCCCAATCAAAAGCTCTGTCAGAATAAAATGGTATGGGATCAATTAAACAGATTTTATAATGTTGGATTCTTATATTTGTACTTTATTCTTTGGGAAGTATGCAAATTGCTATATAGCTTGCTAGGATCCACTCTCTTGAGAGGAAGGAGAATTCTCTCCTCCCATATCAACCTTCATAGAATTTGTAGGTCAACAGTCTTTAGCCCACCATCCCCCTTTTACAGTACAGCTTTAGCTAAATTTATTGCCTGTTGGTTTATGGCTTCCTAACATCAACTGAAGTTGTGTTGGCCCTAAAGTAAGCGACCAGAATCTTGACACCCTGCTGAAAATGACAGCCATGAAAAACAGCTTCATAGAAGTGTGGTAAGCCTTGAGATGATTGGCCTAATTCCCCAGTAGGACCTGTGATGAACATGGCTTATTGATCTGATGGAACTAGCACCCCTTCAGGTCTTGGAGCATCTCTTCTCTGGCCAAAAGTAAGATTACCATTATTTATGTTCTTTCATGCGTGAGCAATTACTTAGAGATGGGGAGAAAGGATTTTTTTTCTTCTTATTTTTCCCCAAAATTTTCCTTCTTAGACAAACATTTTGTTCTTACGCATTATTTTCCCATCAATTTCATGAATTTATGTACAAATAGGAAAGAAGGCTGAGCTGCTTCACCTGAGGACATAAGGATGCATCCTGTTTCCTAATGAGGCAAGAGCAGAAATACAAAGGAACTTCTTTCTGGTCTGTTTCCTCTTACTTTCCCTTGCCCATCCAGGCTCTTACACCACAGTGTTCAGTTAAAGTTAGTCATTTACTTCATTTATTCACACACAAACTTTCCCTACAAGAATAAGTTCAAATCATATAGACTGGGGCCAGGGATTTGGCTCAGTGGTTCCACTGACTGCCTCGCAAGTTCAAGGGCCCAAGTTCAATCCCTGGTACCAAAAAAACGAAAGTAGATTGAACATTTAATCACTTAAGACTTTTTAATGGAAAAATACAAGAGAAGAAAGGCAGATCTCCAGAACAAGAAATTTCTGTACAGTTGCAAGGATTGAGAAGATTTGAAGCATCTTTTCTTCCTTTTTTTTTAGACAAGGTCTCAGTATGTAGTCCAGGCTGTCTTTGAGCTCCCTGTGTAGCTGAGGCTGGCCTCAAACTCATGGCAATCATGCTGCCTCGGCCTCCCGAGTGCTGGGATTACAGTCCTGTTACCACGCCTGGCTTTGAAGCATCTTTTCCCTCCAGCCCCACTTTGATTAGAAACAGCCTGAGTAACTCCTAGCTCCACCGTCATTTATGTTTGACATTCTCAGAACAGAATGAAGAAAAACCAGCCTTACCTCAGTAGAAAACTTAACTTTCATGGACCTTTCTATTAACCACATATTTACAGTTAGCCCTTTATTTTTAGGCTATATGAAGATTACATACTCATTTTAAGAAAAAAATATACATGATTCTTCCACCCAAAGATATGGTTAAAATTCTTAGTGTCCAGAATCAGACTTTTCCATGCATGTGTGTCTACACGTGGTGTTTTCTAACCTGTGTTTATACTCAACATATTGTAAAAATCTTTCCAATCAAACATGTCTATTTCATTATTTTTACATAGTATCCTATTATATGACTGTCATAATTAGCACATTGTTTTTTAATATCTTCATTGTTTTTTATTATTTTTATATCTACTTATAAAACAGAATTTATGAGCCAAGTTGTATGATGTAGTTTATGAACATTTTAGTGCATGTTGCTAAATCATATCCCCATAAAATCAGATACCCCTCCGGCCATTTATACATCCCTGGGAGTGTATGAAGCGTTTATTTCCCCAGTCTCACAATAACATGGAGTATTATCCTCCCTTTTTCTCTTTGCTTTGCTGTAATTGGCAAACATTTGTTAGTGCTGCAGCCAGTGAAGAGTTTGATGTGAACTATGTGTGAGAAGAGTCAAGATTAACACTATAAGCGTAATCTGGAAAAGAGATGCTTTTCATAAGAAACAACTGAATTCTGCCAACAAAAGGTTACATACAGAATAAGAGCATTTCAGTCCTTTATAGCTGTCTTAATCCTCTGATCTTATACATTGTGGAACATACTACAGTATACACAACAGCCCCGCCCCTGTCAAGAGTCACCCATCCCAAAATACCAGTTGAGCTGGGATTGAGCAACCTTAATTAAAACCCCAACCTGTTTCTCAAAAGAAATTCTTTTCACTGGGAGAGGATTTGTGGTTGCCTTCCATTTCTGACAGGTTATAACTTTGTCTGACCAGGCTTAGAATTCCATCATAGTGCTACTGTTTAAGTGGGATACTTGATTGGAGAAGAAGAGTATCTAGGTTGTAGAAGCCATTGCCAGGATTCAAGTTCAGTGGGAGCCTTTAGGTTTTACAGCTGCTGAAAGACAGTGTATTCATCATCCCACGCAGTCACATGATGAAGGTAGTTGATGTGCGTTGGGCCAAAGTGCATACCTAATCGTACATTGTACATACCCATCCTAACAACCGAAACAACTGCTCTTTAAAATATTTACTAAGAATTGCTTCCAAGGAAAACTAGTAAAGGCGTGGGAAAGCGAGATAGGGAAGAAAAGGAAAGGAAGCCGCACTGGATGCTTTATGAAGTCAAGTCCCACGACGCAACTGCCAGGCTGAAGGGAGCACTAGAGGCAATGTGGGTCACACTTCAGCATTTCTCTGATTAGAGGCAAAGGAGCTGGCACGTGTCATTTATGTCATTTCTTTTTAATCACTCATTGCTTTAAGAGCTATCCCTTGGAACCTTCCCCAGTCAACTCGGGCTGTCTACCACCCAGGCAAAGTAGGTTTGGGTGGCTGAAGGGCAGCCTCTGACTAGCCCAATATGTGAATGCAATACAGCATCTGCTACAGCCACGATCTGGAGCTGTGTACTCAGCAGTCTTAGACCAACTCCTCCCACATACACATACACATACACAGTACTAGGGATTGATGTACAGGGCCTTTGCACTGGGCTACATCCCCAGCCCTTTTTTATTTTGAAACGGGGTCTCACTAAATTGCCTAGGCTGAACTTGAATTTGCAATCCTGCCTCGGCCTTTCAGAATGCTGGGATTACAGATATGTGCTACCATACCTGGTTTAAAGTTGTTTGTGAATGCAGAAAAATATGACTTTATTTTGATATGTTGTATATAAAGTTATTTGCAGGTATTTTCTCAAGCGTTTATCAACTGAAGATACCTGTGTATGACAACGCAACATTAAGGGGGTCCAGAATATAAAGTTTATTGCAGCATTTATAACAGTCCCTCTCAAAAGTAGTTTGAGGAATTTCTACTTCTAGCCAAGAAAAGCCAGTACCAGATTTAGCCCCCATCCTGAAATAATGTAAAAAATACGTAAGACCATTCTCAAGACATTGAACATCAGGCTGAGGAACAGCGAACTTGGATAAACGCCAATCAACTGAGCTGTGCCTTGTGATTCCCCCAGCTGACAGACTGCTTGGGAAGTTTCCCAATTAGGAAGCAAGCCAGAGGGACCCAAGAAGACCCTGGAGTCTTCCCAAATTGAGACCAAGCCACAGTCTGCAGGTAAGGTTACCGGGAGGAAAGAGCTACACAGAGATAGCACACAGACCTACAGAGAGTTCTCGTTCATTTAAGTACTGGTCAATACTTAAGTATGAGGAAACCACCTGAAAGCATTAGAGGAAACTATTTCTGGAGTTCACACAGGACCAGAAATAGCATCTACTCGCACCAGAGTAGAAAACCTCATTTTCACAGAGTGCTGGTTAGAGCACTCGGAAGAGTTTTGCTTCATTAATAAGGAAAACTTGGTCCAGGTCTAAACACTTCTCTGGTTCTGCCTCACATCTAAAAATGATCTGAAAAGGTTAAGCTCTGATAACCAATTCCAAAAATACAACCCAATATTTATAGGAATACAAAAATTCCTGACACCAAATATGGTAAAATTCACAACGGAATACTACTAAAAATGGGAATTAATCTTTAGTAACAGCAAATCAGTGGCTGCCTCAGGGTGAGGATGGCTGGGAGGGACAGGAAGTAGAGATTGCAAAGAGCACAAGGAAACAAAGGTATGAATATGTTCATGATCTTGACTCGTGATGGTTTTGCATTGTATGCATACATCAAAACAAGTAAGTCTCATTTCACTCCAGGCAGTCTATTGGAAACATTTTAATGTTTTTCCCCTGAGTTGGGAATATTATGAGAAATCTAAGCAAGGCTCGGTAGTCCACTGGCCATCTTCAGTTTTGTTTCCTGCTTTGCCCGAGTAGGGCCAAGAAGAACCCTGGGATTGCAAATCAAATATCTAACTATAGGACTCTGAGAGGGTCCCTAGCCTCTCTGGCTTCATCAGCAGGACATTTAGGCAGGTCAGCTTGGTTTCCGCTTCCACGCCACTCATAGTTCAGTCCACTAAGTCAAAAGTAATGGGCTTGCATAAGAAAGCAAGAGCCAGAGCCAGGCATGGTGGCACATGCCTGTAATCCCAGCATTTGGGAAGCTTGGCTGGAGGATTGCTGTGAGGTTAAGGCCAGCATGAACCACATAGCAAACTGTCTCAAAGAAACCAACACCCCTAAAAAAAAGAAAGCAAGAGCCAACAATTCTTGCTGCAGAAGCAAATAAGAACCCACAAAAAATTTTAAGTTTATACTGCAGGCTAGGCACCAATCAAGATAGTCCACACTGGATCTCTCAGAGCCTGAATGAAACCTGTCAGCCATTTCAGCCAACAATTTATTTTCCTGCACTGGGGATCGAACCCAGGGCCTCACTCGTGCTAGGCAAGCACTTTACACTGAACTATATTTGTAGTGCTTTTTAATTTATTTTGAGTCAGGGTCTTGCTAAGTTCACCAGGTTAACCTCAAACTTGTGATCCTCCTGCCTCAGCCTCATGGGTAGCTGAATTACATCTCATCAGTACTTCAGCATCTAATCCAGTGATGGCAAACCTTTTAGAGACCAAGTGCCCAAACTGCAACCCAAAGCCCACTTATCACAAAACACCAACACTACAATTAAACCTGAATGCCGAGGTTTTAGTTTAGAAAAAGAATAACTTATATGATGCTCAGCTGCTGGGGTAACTTAGCTCGTATGCCAACAGAGAGGGCTCTGTGTGCCTGCTGCAGCATGCATGCCATGGGTTTGCCACCACTAATCTAACCTGACTCAGGTCCTACCCTTGAGTTAACTCTCACCTTTTTAGGGAGTAAGACAGGTACAAATCTGATTCAGTTCCATGGATATTTATAGGATGCCTGTTATGTACTATGTACTGCACAGTACTGCACAGAACTCAAGGTATAATGGTGAACCAGACAGATATGGTCCATGCCTTCATGGGGCGTGTGGCCAAAAGTTACTGTACATGTGAGTTGAGTGCTTCAGAGAACATGTCTTAAGCCAACCACAATGGTGCACATTTATGATCTCAGCCACTCAGGAGGCTGAAGCAGGAGGGTCTCAAGTTCAAGGCCAGCCTAGGCAGCAATGGCAAAACTCCATCTTAAAAAAAAAAAAAAAGCAGAGAATAAAATTGCTGAAGTGGTGATCAATAGTAAAATTCATCCTCTCCAAGATCAGAAAAACAGACACTGGAAAAATAACAACTTGTCAAAGCAAAAAGAGAAGCAGATCACTAGGAATCAGGAAAGAACTGACAATCAGGAAAGAACTGATAGGAAAAATTAGAATTTGAAAAGAAGTCCACAACAGAGAAAACAATTTGTTCTCTCTCTCTTTCTCTCTCTCCCTCTCTCCCTCTCTCCCTCTCTCCCTCTCTCCCTCCCTCTCTCCCTCCCTCTCTCCCTCCTCTTTCTCTTCTACTCCCTGCCTTCCCTGGCTCTCTCAGCTCAAGGGAGGAGGAATAGCACCCTGGGTGGGGAGAGCCCAGGAGAAAGGCAGTGGATTCCACAGCCTCTGAGAACTGTAAAAACAGCATGGGGTTTTGCTCCAAGGGGACTCCTTCCATCTGGCAGGCAGCAGTTACAGAGAGATACAAACGTGGGCACCTGCCATATTGCCTGAAAGGGCTTGATTATTTAAATGTGGGACTCAACAACTAAAAATGAACTTCACTGCAGGGCT